ATCAGATATTGTCCAAGATAAACCTCCAGGGTGGATATAGCTCGCTAGCAGCCTCGCACCGATGACCTAGTTGATGTCATCATTTACCCAGAATGCTTTGCATGTAAATAAAATGGCCCCGTCCGTGTAATGTACTTTTAAATTTTTAGTTTAAAAATGATAAAAACTGAACATCCTACAGTATTTTTACAGTCTTTATTTTACAGATAAAGTATATGTTTATCAAATAAATTCTAATGTTACAACTAATCGGGGATCCCTTTAAACAGCAAACAATTTAACCACATTCTAATGCTTGTTTTGAAATAAAGAAGTTTCAAAAAATATTTAGGTGCATATTCAGTCTCACAGCAGGTGTTACTAAACTCTGAGGAATATTCTTCCTTGCAGGAAGTAATCTTTATTAGGGTTTGTCATACAAAATGAATAAGAGAGCCTCCATTATTTTAATGATGGTACCTATTATTATCTACCTCATAAAAGGATCTCAACCTCTTTTTTATATCTTACTCTTTCGACAACTTTAATGTGGCCTGAATGGCAAAGTGTGCACACACAAATGTTATATCATAATGACAAGTAGCCTCGCCCCTACAGAACTTCCCTGATAACAAATTATTCTCATAGAAATAATCATTTCCAGCGCACCTCTCAGACAACCTTTCTTTGTTAGGTTATGTTTGATGTAGTTAGAACATCCATAACCTAACAAATAAAGAAAACAAATTTAGAAAGACACATTATTTGTATGCATTTCTTGTGTTTTACTCTCCATCAAAAACTTTTTCATTTAATCATTTAATAAAACTTTGGCATGCAAGGTGATGGGTGAATAGTTTCATTATAAAAACAGAGTTTCTCAGTCTGAAAAATCTGTGTAAATGTTTAAACAAATTCCAAACAACAGCAGGAATCTGTTCCTTTTGGATGTGCCACAGACGTCAGAGGCCTGAATAAATCTCTCCACATAGCAGATAGGTGTGGGCCAGGTCTTGTATCAAGCTGGCCCTGCTGGCTGACCGCTGGCATGGCAAGTGGTTTGTCAACAGGATATGGGCCAGACCTGGCGATGATGGCGCTGTTTGTAAGATGGCATGCCACAACTGGCCTGCAGTTTGGTTTATGTGGTGCTGGCCCAAGCATGCATCATCCCTGGCAAACCCCACCTGGGCCACCAGAGTCATCTTTATTTTGTGGCATCTGAGCCAAACGTTAGTGCAATATGAGGGCCAGAAATGGGCCAAACACATTGTGCTATGTGGCTCACATAAAGATCAAAATAGATTTTGAAACATATGCAAACACTTCAACAAATCTATTGTCTAAAAACACAACTATAGAGATTTCCATCCCAGGTTTACAGATAATTAATGTTTGTGTAGAGAAACCTCATATCAACCAGTTGTGGTTTGTTCTTATTCAACACGGAGAGATAAGATAAGTCTGAGTGTTCGGATGCATAAACCCTCCTCTGAGGCAGAAATGCACCATTATAACAGTGTACTGGTTCCACATGAGTCCTGCAGCTGCCTCCTCACCACCTCAACTGTTTTCATCTGGATAAATATTCTTCATTGTTATGGATTTTTATGCACTTTTTTGACAAAAAAAAGAAGAGCCACCCTCGAGGTGTTTTTGTCCTCATGCACATCATTCAGTCAAACAGGGAATAAGTGGTGTGGCGAGCGTTTTCTGGGTCAGCCCAGCAGGCAATGAAATGAACAGAGAAGTGTGAAGACTGTTTGCCCAAAGGAAACTTTTTGTTTGTTTGTTTTTGAGACCGTATGGCCCTCTGATGATAGTGAGGATTTTATCTTAAAACCAACCAATTGCTTTTCTTCATTTTATTCTTTTAGCACGATTGTAGATTCAGCTCATTGTCTAAGAATGTCAAACTAAGCAGGGAAAACAAAGAAATGTTTCACCTGAATGCTTTGTTAAATCTCATTAAGTTGTGGTCGTTCATCCGTGTGACTCAAGCAACCACTCAGATCAAATCTCTGGGCCCTCTAACCTTTGAAATAACAATTGAGAAAAAAAAGCTGTGGTTGTTGATTAAACGGAGACAAAACGAGGCATGTGCCTTTAAGAGAACTGTATGTCCCGCTCTACATGTCTTTCCCTGAGCCTCATGTGTTTGTTGGCATCAGCTGTCCTCAGTGCTGAATGGAGAAAGGACATCTTTTCCTTCGCAGGGAAAAGAAGAAGTGATTTTCTTATTCTGCCAGCCACCATTATTTCAGAAGGACAGAAAGAAAGATCAGGAAAGGTGAAATGTTTGGATTACAAAACAGTATTTTTTGTTTTGTATTTTTAGTTTCTGAGCCTAAAGGGAGAAGAAGCCTCTGAAAGAAATACAGAACTAAACCAAAACTGCAAACTTGGCAATATTTTTCCTGTGTTTTGACTTAAAAAGGTTACAAGAAATGGAAGATTCATCCTCTGCATCATTTGCTTCTTCATCTCTCCGTCCTGGCCCGAGCACCTTCAGGAGACTCAGCCGCTCAGAGGACCAAGTCTGTCCAATCCCAGGACTCCCAGCAAACATCCTGCACATGCGAGTTAAAGAAGGAAGCAAGATCCGCAACTTGCTGCAGTTTGCAACAGCTCGCATGCGAGAAGGAGAAGGAAGAGACGGACACGGGACATCGAGGCAAGTGGTCTTCACAGGCTCGGGCAGGGGAATCACCAAGACTGTCACCTGTGTGGAGATCCTGAAGCGGAAAGTGGCGGGGCTCCATCAGCTGTCCAAACTTTACTACAAGGGGGTTAATGAGATGCGGGAGAGTCCACAGCAGGGAGCACCGGGTCGGTCTGTGGACAGGACGGTCCCCGCCATCTGCATCCTGCTCTCCAAAGACCCTCTGGATCCACAGGAGCCTGGCTATCAACCCCCACAAACCACCAGTGTTCCCACAGAGGACGCAGAGAAAGGCAGGGATCTGCTCAGGACAGGTCTCTGCTCCTTTCAGCACACAGCCAAGAGGCTCTGTCTCAACGTTTGTCCCCCCAAAACCTCTGAGGCCTAACTACACAAAACTAGAACTGTGTATTTAATTATGGTTTGTGGTCAGAAGTTTTATGTTGTACAGAGGAAAGTAAAAGAAAGTCATTCGGGTTGTCATTTTTGGAGGAATTTTATAAAAAAAAAGATGTCACCTGATGTTTCCAATAGTTTGTAAGTTCCTTTACAAAAAAATATTTGTACTATGGGACAGAGCATATCTGTAGTTTCATATATAATGTTTGAAGTATTTGCTCCCATAAAAAGTGTGATTTTATTGCCTGCTACCAACAGGTCAGTGGTGACAAAAAGGTTGTGTGTGTGTGTGTGTGTGTGTGTGTGTGTGTGTGTGTGTGTGTGTGTGNGCGTGTGTGTGTGCGGGTGTGTGTGTGTGTGTGTGTGTGTGTGTGTGTGTGTGTGTGTGTGTGTGTGTGTGTGTGTGCGTGCGTGCGTGCGTGTGTGTGTGTGTACACAGTTACAAAAAACTGTGCTGAGTTTGTTTATAGATTTTTTAAAACTGGTTTTATGACATTTGTAATGAGTACCTTTAACCAAGGTTACTTTGTGGTTCAAGCAAATTTTACTCTTTAAAGGCCAAAAAAAAAAAAAAATTAAAACAGAAAGCAATGTTGGAAACAAAACTGTGCAATTTAATTTAATTTCAATTTATGACCAGTGGTGGGCATAGTTTCCCTAAAGCACTAATAGGGGAACTAATTTCCTGATTAGGACTTTTGCTATTTTTAATTCATTATTGGATCAGTACTTACTAGATTTATGGGCTGAATTTAGAAGCGCAAACGGAGGTCTTTAAATACTATTGATCAATATTGTTAGCAACTGAGGGTGAAAGCTGTCACATATTTTGTTCATATGAGTGCCACTTTTTCACTTGGTGACATATTGACAATATTCTGCACACAGTAAATATTGTCTCATGTTAACTTTTAAGAATGTTCCAGGGGTCAACTGAATTAGTGCTTTAGAGTTGAGCTTTGCGTTTCCGTGCATTAGTGCTTTAGGATTAGGGGACCTAAATATTTGAGTTAGTGCTTTAGGGTTAGTGCAACTAATTTTTAAATTAGTGCTGCCCACCACTGTTTATGACCTACATTTGCTGTAAGAATAGTAATATTTGTAAATAGTTTTTGTTGCATCAATATTAAAGTGGCCCGAGATTGCGCATGCGCAGCAGGATGTGACACAGGCGCTCGAGCTCTTCCAGAAAACGCAGCTTCCTCCTCTCCTGTTAATCAGACGGGTTAGTGTGTCCGCTGGTTGTACTGTATCATGTTCAGAGCCGCCGTCCGACTCTCGGTCTCCGGTGTGCGGAGTCTTACCCGTACACAGCCGAGGTGCCAAGGTACTTACTCCTTCTGTCACTTTTGCTTATGAAACTTTCAGAGCGAAGTTCATGCGGAAATCCTGAGTGAGAGAGCGTGGGCACATTACTGCGGTCTCTGCACACGGCTAAAGCTAGCTAGCCAGAGTAATAACTCATTACACGCCGAATATTTAAACCTGTTTATATTTTAATCATTCATTGTCGATTTTATTTTGATTTCGCTGTTAGTCACTAAACATACAGGGCGTTCTGTAATGAAAATGCCCCGGCGTTGAGCTCATAGGTGGTTGTGTCCTTGCCGTGACCCAGATGGAGCATGCTAACATGCTAAGTGCTCCGTTAAGTCAACCAGCTGAGTGTTTTAACAGCGAAGCGGGTCGGTACTGATTTGAATCATGCACCCACTGATGTGGTTGTGTGGTGTAGTCAGTATGTAAAAAAAAAAACAATGTTATTTCCATTACAGAACAGCTGAATAAGGCCCGTGTAGATTATAGTAGATTTCCAGTAGTTTCTCAGATGCACAGCTGTATATTAGCTGTCTACGTGCCGTGTCAAATTAGAACAATGGAAGTGATCCACCTGACCTACAAAACATTTGCCCCTATTCTACTTTACTTAGTGCAGACCTGCTAACTGCTCAGGGTTCAACATTACACAACTTTGGTTATTATAGTAGGTTCTTGTAGCACTGCCATAGTTGAGGACAAAGTTAATGTTATTGTTTTTATTTGTATTATTCAGCTCTTGTGGCGTCAAGGTGCTACTCACACGGGGATAATGAGACCGATGAGGAGTTTGATGCCCGCTGGGTTACATACTTCAACAACCCAGACATTGATGCATGGGAGCTGAGAAAAGGTAGGTTAATCTGTGATGGTGCTGACCCTGATCAATCCAGTAATGTGAAATTCAAGTGTACACATTGTACCCAGCCACTTCACTGGTTTACTGTAAGGAAACTGTTTTTACAAGATCGGTAAATATTTAACCTTACTTAAACAAAGCTTTGTCAGCTTAGACATGAGCTAATTTTAGAAATCTGTCAGAATCATTTTGGATTAGTGGCATTATGTGATGAAGAGGTTTGATCTGCCTTCAGGTCAACATTTCTGACAAAAAGTCTGTACAGAATCTATAAAAGGATTGCTACAGCGAAAAGAAAAAAATTAGACACAATGGGCCTCATGCAAGAACATGTTCATATTCTTATCCTAAATTTCTCTTTCTTTTGTTCATACAAAGGGTTCGTACGAACATGTCACGTCAGATTCAACAAACTCTTCTATCTTCAGGAAAAGTGTGTAAATGAGCTGCGTAAATTTCACCTGTTCGCATCCAGCTGCTCGTGCACGTGAGAGGAGATTAGCATAATTACCACCCCAAAAACACCATATAAGGCTACGTTTCCTGCCTCAGATACAAGGAAGTGTCCATTCGTGAAAAATGACAGCGATAATTAAAAAGAAGAACTTTACGAGTTCAGAGATTGAAGTCCGTCTGTCAGAGATCCAGAAAAGAAAATCAGTCATTTTTAGCAGGTCAGCTGTGGGATAAAAAGAGCTGCTAAAAGTATAAACAACTGTGTTAAATCATTTTCATTTATTCAGAAGACACACCGTTGCGCCCCGTAAACCCCCCCCAACAGTCTCAAATGGTCTCAGTTGCGGCTCTGAAATAAGCATTTTAAAATGTTTTCAAAATAAGTCTGGCACTTTGGAGAAAATCCAGGAGTCGCTGGAGGGATTATGTACCCCCTCTGGCCTGGGAACGTCTCAGAGTCCCCCAGGATGAGCTGGAAAGTGTCGCTAGGGAGAGCGGGGTCTCCTGCTGCCCCAACGACCCGATCCCGGATAAGCCGGCCGGACGGATAATTTATATTGTTAGACTAAATTATTACATTTTAAATTATAACTCTAATTCAAGCAGAATAGCCTATTGTCAGCATAATTATGGAGTGTAATTTATTTTCAACTCAAAATACCTTAAAACTAACAAAATATAAAGTTACTAGGGAGGAAAGTCTGTCTGGATAACAGCAGACTGACTGCTCGTAAAATATACGACAGGTCTGGACCACTCGTGAATTTTGTTCGTATCTGAAAAAAATCAGAATACGAAAACATTGGTGAATGCCACAAATTCTTTCTTTGCGTACGAACGGTTCTTGCATGAGGCCCATTGTTTATATTTTATTTTGAAAAGGTCAGCTATTGAAAGTGAGAATTTTTAATTACAGACTGATTTGGTAATGAATAATGTGCTGCTTCATTTCTAGACCTGCTATATGTAACCAGGAACTGGTGTTAAAGACGTGTTAATCAAGGTGCAGTTACAGGTATTCCACCAGCTTCTGTGGCACATAACTTTCCTTTAATAGGTGTCTACACAGACAATGTAGAAATAACAAGATATAGCTTGTTTAAAGGAAAAAAATAGATGAATAAATAAAAAGGAATTTGGATTAATTTATTTTTGAATATAGTTTATATACTGTATATAGTTGAGTAGTAAATAGAGGTTGCAAGCCAATAAGGCGCGTCCTTCAGTTTGCCGAGCCATTAACAGCTAAATTAAATGTGAAGCAATAAAATGTCTCATTCTCATGACAACTTCTATTAAAGTGGCTTCATGTTCTATTTATTCACAACTGCGTAGTAAATTGAACGTTGTTTTTAGCTGAATGATGCACTCCTATTTTTACCAGGGTATCAATTATTTATCATTTTTGCCTTTCAAGTTCAGAATCCTGTCAAAAGTTTATCGCTGAAATGTTTGGATTGCTTTGATTACAATATTTAACAAGTGCTGTAGCTGTTCATGAATTTGTAAGACACAAACTAAGAGGTTGCACAAATTTACACAACTACCCTTCTATAAACAGAACTAATCTTTATTTTTCTTCAGGATTTTATTCAGTTGTAAGTTACCTAGTAACTCAACACATATAAAGGGTTTTATCCTGAAAATAACAAGAATACAAACTAAGAAGTAGTCCTAATTGGAAACCAATGATGAGAAGAAAATACTAAGTTGTTAGTCGAGTATGTTTACGGTGTTGACGTTTTTAAACAAGCCAGGGGTCGTGTGTTTATTTATTTTAAAGCCAAGCAGGATTCATAAAAATCACCTTCATTCTTTTTATTGCTCGTCAGTTGTTCTCGACAAACAGGTTTATGTGCTTGAGGAAAGG